CGAAGACGAGATCACGAACCGTATAGCGAAAGCTCGAAGTACTTTTGCTAACCTTCGCCACCTTTGGCGGCGGCGCGACATCACTCTCGCCCTGAAGGGTAGAGTGTACAATGCAGCGGTACGTTCGACCTTACTGTACGGTTGCGAAACCTGGCCCATAAGATCGGCGGACATGAAGAGGCTAGTTACGTTCGACCATCGGTGCCTTCGCAGTTTGGCTCACATCTGGTGGGAACACCGCGTGAGTAACGAGCGTGTTCGACGCATTGTTTACGGCCCAGGAAAAGGATCTGAACCGCTCAGCACCGTTATTTCCCGCATCAGGCTCCGATGGCTCGGCCACGTGTTACGCATGCCAGCCCACCGACTCCCTCGACGTGCGTTGTTTGCTCACCGGGGATGTGGGTGGAAGAAGAGGAGAGGTGGCCAAGCGATGACTTGGTCGAGGGGAATGAAGTCCCTCACCTCAGAGCTAGCCTCGGTTGGAGCTTCAGGGCTCCCTGGTTGGAGTCCAAAAGACGGTGAACACGTTTGGCTGGATACACTTGCTGACATGGCAAGGAGCCGACCTCAGTGGCGTTCATGCTGCGAGTTTCTTTGTCCCTCCCCATCCCTTTTAGCCTCCCCATCCATCTACGATCTCATTTCCTAGGGTAAAACATAATATTTTTTTTCTTTTTGCCTAGTAGCTAGCTGGAAGCTTACCGGAACGATGCCTATCCGTTGCTGGTAGCTCAGCTGGCATGCAACTGTTGTATCTACTTCTCCTTTGTGTATTGTATTGTATGTATGTATGTATTTCCTTCATGTATTGCGGCACAATAGCGGAGGTGTTTTTTCCCACCTCTAGCTGATGTGTATGATGAATGAAATGAATGAATAGCGATGGAATCGATTTGCGTCCATGGCGGGCCCGAGACTGGTGGGCGCCAAGTCATTCTTCTGCGGGTGCTGTGTCGAAAGTTAGTGCTCGCGAGAAAGAGACGAGCATCTTCACACACGTGTAGCAACCGCTCACCGTTATCATTACGGGAGCCTACACCATGTTGGCCGCCCAAATGAAGTTCATCAGAGGACCATTTTCCAACTTGGGCGTTTAGATCACCAGCAAACACCACAGTGTCCGTGCTTCTTCTGTAACGAAGATCGATAAGTTGGTGATAAAAAGCATCTTTCACCGAATCAGGGCTGTAGTTTGTTGGGGCGTAAGCCGAAATAGCAAACAGCCACCGCTTGTTCCCGCGCGACATCCAAGTCTGGAACGAGGCAGTTAGTCTAATAGCGCACATCCGGCTGTTGACCAGGATCCAGTCGATCAGGGCAGCTTCCGCACGGGGACTCAAAACAATACCGACACTAGCTTGACCGGCATTTGAAGCTGCGTCATCACCAGACAGGAGCGATGAGAATGTGCCGTCAGTGTCACATGTGGGGGATCGCGGGATAAGCAGGGAGCTCGAATCTTGCAGGCAGATTTCCGATAAACAGCACCTATCGATCGGTAGGGTCTCAAGTATTTGGGCAAGTGCTGCCTGTTGGCCAATCTGTAGCACAGGGCGTACCTTGAGGCGTGCTTGTCTCGGCGAGGATCGAGGACTCCAAAGGGAAACGGATGAACTGACGTTGTCCGCTTAGTTGAACATGGACTTGTCGACTGGATTGGAAAGACGCCCTGCGAATGTGTGTGAGTTGAAACTAGAAGACAAACGACTATTGAAGCAAGGTGGGGGAAAGCTAACAATTGGGGGATTATAAACGGGGGGATAAAAGTGAAGTTGGAGCGGGACGCTAAGGATGAAAAGGCGCGAGAGTGGAATAATAAGGCGAGAAGGCTTGAGTAGTAGCATCCAAACTGCTCGATGCAGCAGGCACGGCGCCGTTTATTATCCTCTGCGACGGGCAGAGCATCAAGAGGTTGTTGGAAGGAAATGTCATGGTGTATTGCGTGGGCAGGATACTGTCAGGTTTCCCAGGCCTAGAACGGAGAACAATTAGGGTTCTCAACCAAAGCCTTTGGTGCAAAAACCTAACCGCAAAGCAGCGGAGTATAGGCATTGGACTACAGAGAACCCGCTTTATGGAGTAAGGAGCCACCCTCACTCCAACCTCCAACCTGGATTGCCGGGAGACGGAGTTTGTCTGGCCTCTAACCATTGACCAATCTAGTATGAGTGGCTCTGAAAATGCAAAAAGCACCAAATCGCATAGCTCAATGGGCCAGCGAGGCACACAATGCATCGTATCACGTTAAGCTCCAGTCTCCGCGATCAAATGGAGAAATCACGATGGCACTGAAGGTGGTAGAGTAAGTGATAAGTAAAGGTAATCAAGTATATTATTTTCACAACCAAAGATTAACAGGGCAAAATGTAAATCGAATGATCATGTACCGAAAGATGTGGGCCGTAGTGAAAGCAATTGGTGTATGAATTGCTTCTGTACACACAGCTTCAGCTGAGGAGGCGAAATAGATAGCTTTAGCAACGGATCGATGCTCACGGAATCTGCGCGAGAATCTCTCAAGAATGGAATAGATAACTATGAAATCCTTTTCAGAAACTGCATGACCGTAAACAAGGAGTTGCGACATGATGGAGTTATTAGAAGAGCTCGCTTCACCACTGTCGTGGCGATGAATTAGTGGTAGCCTGGCTCATCGAAATTCGACACGCCAATCGGAGTGAGTTAGGTTAGAATGGTACGGGGCACATGTGGCAAATGTCATCCGTCGCACATACGATAACATAACTAACCGCTATGCACAAGAACCATGCCACACAGACCGCCTGATCTGTATCGATGCTAACAATTTTATGACATGCTGAGCAACCGTGCTGTCGTCTAGACGAAGCGCCCCACAAACGGTAGGATGGCACTCCTGATCTAATGCAATCGGTGAAAACAAAGAGGTGCAGAAAAACGAGAGCAGATGAGCAGAAAGTGTTAAATACGAGTCAAAAAAACGAGGAGCCGACGCGGGATTGCATAAAACACCAAGTTAAATAAAGTCACTGAGAGAAATGGCTGTATTATCAGTGAAGGATAGAACAAAAACACGTCACGTCGCCCCCACACTGAAACTGAAGAAAATGTGTGAATCAAAAAGACCAAAGATTACTAATCAAGCTGAAAACATGCGTTTAAATCGAACGAACTGTCGGAGGGGTCTTAGAAACAAAGTAGAAACTACGAGTAACGAACGAGATCACCATCACAGAACAATGGAGAATGTAATCTGATGAAAGTAACATTGAGTAGTTCTATGGACTACCCACACCGACTAATCGTCTCGCTTCCTGGAACCCGATTGTATAAATTTGAGAAGGATTTGTGGAGGATGTTGAAACATTTGGGTACTGGATCCGAACAAAGCAGTAACAATTCTGAACAATTCCTTAGAAAGCTGTGGGATGCCAAGACAGAAGACGACCAAATTATGCTTCCATTCGATGTTATCACACTTGTCACCTCAATCGGTCAAGAACCAGCCAAAGAAACCATGATGGAACTGTGTTGAGGGTCATTTTGATGCCTGCTAACTCTATCTGATGAGATGTAATAAAATCGAAAAGCATCATAGTAGTGCAGTGTTTTCGGGTGAGCGACACCCAATTTCTATTTGCATTATGGAATTACCTCAGGAGCAACCATGCTCCACCGCAACTATGTGACCCGAAAATCTGGGAGATCCTGAACCTCTGCATTACCATTTACTTCCGCTTTGATGAGGTGTACCAGCAACTTAGAGGAACGCAAATGGGATCCCCAATATCGGAGCTTATTGCAGAAGCTGTGGTGCAGAAATTGGAGCGCATTGCACTGCCATTGATCAGCTCAAAACTGGATACGATACGTGGACGACATATTTGTCATCGTAAAAAGAACCAGAGTACAGATCACGCACCAGTTGCCTAACCACAGATTCGAGTATAGCAAATGCACGAATGAATTGGAGAAGGATAACAAGTTACCGTTCTGGGATGTACTGGTCAAAAGGACTCCCAATGGATCACTGCAAAAGAACGCCTCAGTGACAGCAGTAGCCGATTGAGCACATATATAAACGAATAGTGCTCCCCACATCAAGAACGTCTCCGAACTAACAGGGAGATTGCTGCAGTCCCATGGAATCTCCGTGACCCACATACCAAGTGTCACCTTAAGAAAATCGACCTCAAGACTTCCGGAAAAAGTCAATTAAGTCCATAACAGGAATGTCATCTACCAGATAAAATTCATCGGACAAACTGGAAGAAAGCTTTGCATACGAATCAGCGAACACAAAGCAGTTGTAAGAAGACACGACACATATTCACTGGTTTCCGCATATGAAGATCAAGAAGACCACCATTTCGATCTGGAGAATGTGACGATGGCGCGTGGTATTTTGGAAGCGTGACACTCCACAGCGAATTCAATCAACTGGCACATTGAACGGAACGCAGTATACGCAACAGTACTGGTGACGAATCGCCAGATCAATCGACTGAACCCGGCGGAACAGAGTGCCAGGAAGCAGATCAGGCAACAAACTCGATCACAAGAGCAAACAGACAAAGGTCAGAGAGTACAGATCGGAGAGGCCAAGTGTGTACAAACAGAACGCTGATCCAAGTCTCAAATATTAGGATTGCCCGTCTACACAACAATCACGGTGACATAATGCAGGCGCATGACTCATCGCACCCACACCGAGGCTTCCCTACGCTACGTTACTGCAAGCTACGCAACAACCCGCTGACGATGTCCCCACGATTAGTGATAAAACGTCTGCAACAAATTCCAAACTCAGCGAACAGTTCAACTGTCACCAGATACGGGTCATGTGAGCGTCCGTGAATTACATGTCTTGGGACGCTGAACGTCAATGCCAGTGCTAACAACATGTGGCACATGTGAGGAATGCTAATAATGCATCCAAATCCAATGGTCTGAGCAGCAGATAGAGGCATAAAACCCCGTTTGCATTGATATTCGCTTTTTAAGCTTGAGAAACCCACTTCCAGCGAATCGAAAAAGTAGTCACAGGCCGACTCTAATAGTACACTAATGGGGGTGAATGTGCAATTGAGAAAAACCGTGTCAAACTGAAGTCCTAATGATTCCTTACCGTTCTCAACGAGGAAACACGGTCCTACGTTGGACGAATTACAGTAACTCAGCGGCGAATAAAGCATGAAGCTACTGTTCAAAAAAAATTCACGTCGGAACAAATACTCAAATGTAAATACCGCGCTAAAGCGCGACGGAGTCAAGTAGGCTTAGTTAGAGATGAGATGCAATCGACTGTGTCTCATTAAAGAAGTGGCGCAACTAAGTGAACGCCGTAGGAAAACTCAGGGGTACGAAAATAGAAAGGGAGAAGCGGGAAAAAGACGTCAAAAGTATGCACATTAGCGAAAAGGTAAGTGTGGAAATGAAACTGTGCTAACCGTAAGGCTTTTCTCGGATACTGAGTAACTCCAAGTACAGAGTCCGAAAATGCTCCAGTTTGCGTTGAAGGCGAGGCTCCAAACCCATTTGACTAGTTGCGATCAAACTGCGGTTCGTGTGGGCATCATTTTTTGATCGCAACCGGCTGGCGGCGGTCAAGTAATTGCGCCGTCTTTGGCGGGCAATTGTCTTATCAGTATGTTGTCGACAGTGAGCAAAATACGGATCAGCTGCATTCTGGAAAACAGAGATGGCAATAAAATAGCCAAGCTGCAATATAATGTACAATAGTTGAAATGATGGTAAATCCAGCGTCTGCAACAAGTTCGATCAAGATGTTGAAATACGTGCGTAGTTGAAATGTCTCACAAGAGAAAAGGGCTCTATGTTATTCAGAAGACATTAGTTACAGATGACCCAACACAAACTAATTGGGCGTGGTGAAGTTCAAAGAAGGAAAGGACTCAAACGAGTGATGCAAACAATAACTTGCGAAACACTCGGAAATAAGCCTGTAAAGTAGCAAAAACTACGGTGAGGACACGGCGATCTAATAAACAAGTAAACAGTTTGCAAAAGTTAGGTTCGAGGTAAAGACACAAAACAAGAATGAAAATACCAAAACTTCCATTAGGAGAAACTTTGTCAGGGAATAAGTAGTAATAGTAAGCGTGACATTTAAAAGTAAGCATCATCTAGGCATTGACCCGTATAAGGCAAAGCGAGCATTTGTGAAGTGGATGGAAAGTGCGGGGAGAAAAGCCGAGCCTGGTGAGAAAGTTAACTCACCTCATCCACTACCGGTTCGGACAGGAGTCCGTGCTTTTGTGCACTGGTAAAACAAGATGAGTCAGAGCAAAATAAGAAAATACCAAGTAACGTGGAAGAAAGTGCGGCACAGACCAGCATCACAAGAAATGCACACACCAGTCCAAGCGAAGAAGCGCTCGTCACACAGAGAGCATTCATGCATAGACCAAACTTTTGGAGCAAGTTCCGTTAGGGTAACCTAGAACAGGAGTCAGCGGTACAGCACCATACATCCATCAGATTTTCCGGATCATTGAAAGCGACTCCAGGTGTGTATAACGCACATAAGAGATGTACCCAGCGATTGTTGTCTGTTCGTTTGAAAGCTCCTGTGATGCTAGGGCATAGTTCACAGTGCTGATGAGAAGTGAGACTAAAAAAATGCGAACTCACCGGCGCATACTCACCAGCCAAACATGGTTCACAAAACCAGGCGTCTGTACTTGAGGAGCTGGCACCGCTGGAGAGGAAGATCGAATCGATCACTTTGTAGCAGTCTGTATATGAACAAGAAGAGTTAGACTAACCCACCTTCATGGACAACAATGCCACAGCCGTCGCATTCGATCAGCTCGTCGTTGGGATCATTGTTGTCGCCCAGGCAAATCAGACATACCAATAGGTCGACAGAAGGTTTGCTGAGCGATGCAACTTTAGGTGCCATTGACTCCATGTTCGACAAGAGCGGACAGGCATGGACATTGAATGCATCCTGATGTGTGCATTCAATAGAACTGTCGACATCCATAGATTTATACGTTGCATCGATATTTGCGGACTGGGCAGTATCAGAAACTGCCGGCTTCGGTGCTTCGTCGCAAGAGCTAGTTCCACTAGAATTATCCACATCGTCTGAAGAACCAGAAGACTCTCCATTTGAAGAGGAAGGGCTACTACCCGAAACGCTTTCATCAGCATCATCACTGTCTATGGTTTGAAATATAAGTAGACAAAATAGAGTGAGTCTTACCTTCCGGATCATCACAGACGAATTCGCTATCACTTTCATCTTCCCATTCATCAAGAAGACTTAACTGCGGCGTACTAACGGGTTTTATTTGTCGCTTAGATGGATCACGACGGGCTATAATCAAGATGGAGAGAACTAAGGGTTGGTTACCAATGGCGCTAAAGAGCTCAGCAACTTCCGAACTGGACTTTCTACTTTCATCCGATTTCATTTGCGATTATCACACAACTTTTTGGAGACAGCGCCGGCGCGTTTGTTAAAAGAGAGTAACATTAATGGATAGTGACTGGACAATTCTCTGGAAAGGTAAACAATCCATTGGCAACCTCGGTGGAATGAGCCTCAAAATGACGAACTCCCAAGTTAATAAAAACTTGCATACTATTGGATTGAACACTTTCAAAAACGGTTACGATGAAAATGCTGAGTTGACTTGCACTGGTCAACTCATGTTACCGAGGTACGAAATGAATTAGTATACGTGGTCCCCTACTTCGGATCCGTTTCGTGCTTAGGCGGAGTAAACTGATCCGGAAAGCGGTCTCGTCCCGGCCCCAAATGGCTCAGTTGTAATGCTTCGGATCTTCTAGCATCCGTGTTAATTAAGCATAGTGGTGAAGCCAATGGGCTTCGGAGCTGCCCGCTACCAAAAATGTGGTGAAACCGTTCACCAGAAATTGAAGGATTACCATATCCTGGTCGATTGAGGCAATCAATGGGGATGTACCCAAGAAAGGAGATAGCAACCGTCCAATTAGCACAGAGATGAGTTCGACGCAGACACCTAAAGCTCCTAGTTTTCATTCTGGTTAAAAGGCAGTAGGCGGGCCGTCGACTCGAATGTGGGTATATGGAAATCTTTGTTCGGTGATGGGCGATGGGGCAGGTTCATGCGTACCGAAGCCATCCCATAAGTATGCTATAAAATTCCACGAGCACGTTAGATTCAAGTGACCATTTCGGAAACGCAACATGCCCAAACTTCGTGCGAATGCAGCCTATTGAGCTGATTATCTTAGAGTGCGAACGCTGAACGCCGCCATGGAAACTGTACAGCGTGAACTTACAAGGGGATGTTGTCAATAGGCATCCAGTGGGTGGTGCGGTAAGGTAGCTGTAGATGTTATGACTCCAGTGGTATTACGGCTGCTGTCAATGAGGCGCGGAATTGTAGAGAGGAAGGTGAGTTATGGGGATTGGGAAGGCAAAACGAGAAAGATTTGGAAAAGAAGGGATGCGCCAGCAGCAGCATGTTTTCGCTTAACAGCCCTGTTGAATGCAGTAAATAAGACGACCCTTGATAAATTACGCGACGGCAGATGCAAATTATGGTCGAAGTCTATCAATATACAATCAACAACAGCAGTACATCAGCCATTTGAACTGATGCTTCGCTGCCATACAACCATGAGGACCTATGAAATAAAGAATAAGAAGAGGGAGAGAAGGGGGACTTACCTGAAAACCTTAATGTTCTAAGCAAACATTCCGGGTCAAGGCGCGTACACCTTGTGTAGACAACCTACCGTCACAAACAACTGGCTATCGTGCAAAGATAAGGCGGCATAAGCGAGACAGCTTCCTTGCTGCTTTCACTGTCACGCGTCATAAACAGCAATTACCCTGCAGATAACTCAGCACCAAATACACTTTAAACAGACAATCCGATTAGGAGACGGCAGCAGACGCGCCACTGGTGTCGGTTGCGAGCCATATCCTGTAAAGTCTCGAGCCAAGTACAAGTCGAATCACGTGGACTCTAGCCTGGAAGGCAAAACGAACCAACGGCACCCAGTTTGGTCGTCAGTGACGTAATTCCCCGCTGCCAAGTCAACTTCTGTCCACCTCGAGACTTGCTCCACCCTACACCTGGCAGACTAAACAAGGCCCTCCTAGGTAAACGGTGACCAGGCATGCGTAGCACGTGCCCGAGCCACCGCAACTTATTCAGTGCTATCTGTTGTTCTAGGGAATTAGCATGATTATCACCACCTAGTACTCGCCTACGCACATCATCGTTGCGGACACGCTGGTGACATCCGACTCCAGCAATGCTTCGCAGACAACGATGATCAAAGACTTGATGCCGCCTCAGATCTTCAGACAGAAGGGGCCAAGTCTCACTACCATAGAGCAGAACGGCCCTCACTGTGGCCTTGTATACACGGCCTTTCAGACGGAGGGTAACTCCTATCTGTCGCCAAAGATGCTGCAGATTCAAGAAGGTAGCTCTGGCCTTTGCAATGCGTGAGCTGACGTCAGTTTCTATGCGCCCATCATTGCTGATGCAGCTGCCAAGATAAGTGAATTGATCAACCACCTCGAGTTCCTCATTAGCAAGTGTCAGGGGGTCGTCAAGTGGCTGGTGGTCCTGCAGCAACACTTTGCACTTTGAAGGTGCGAAGTGCATACCAAATAATGGGACCACTCTGGACAGGCTATTCAGGGTTGATTGGGCTGCCCCAACGTCGTCGAAAAGCAAGATGATATCGTCCGCATAATCTAGACCAACTAACCTTCCACCAGGCAGCACTTCAACGAATACATCGTGAGATTCCGCAAGGGAACACTCCATGATAGAATCCATGACGAAAATGAACAAAAACGGGGAAATCGAACAACTCTGACGAACGCCACTTGTGGTCGGAAATTTATCCGATAGGCCACCGTAGACTCTGACGTGGCCTCTAGTGTTCGAGTATTGAGCACGAAGGATGTTCACATATTTCGTGGGAACACCTTTTCGCGCAAGTAATTCGAACAGAATCGATCGATCGACTGGATCGAACGTACTCTTGAAATCGAGGAACACAGCTACTGTCGGTCTGCGGTATGCGTGGCGCTGCTCTAGCACCCACCGCAAAGTGAATATATGATCTCTACAGCCACGTCCTGGGCGAAAACCAGCCTGCTCTTTTCTAATCCGAGATTCCCGTTCCATAGTGAGGCGACGAAAGATAATCGAGGCCAATAATTTTGTCACAACTGGCGTTAGGCTAATACCCCTGTGGTTCGCACAGTCTGTGCGACTGCCCTTCTTGTATATTGCCACTATAATCGATTCGCTTCAGTTAGCCGGGACACTCCCTTCCAGATACGTTCGAATAGTGAGGTCAGTGCTTTGCAGAGGACCTCACCTCCATGCTTACATAGTGCAAGTGGGAGGGAATCCGGGCCAGCGGCACGAAAACGATTGAGGGCTGTGATCGCGTTTCGGACCTCGGCCTTCGACGGAGGCTCTAAACTAACCATCAATGGCTCGTCCTGCATCACCTGAGTAGGAGGAGGTCCAGAAGTAGAGGGCCAGCTGAAATGATCTTGAAAGTGTTCCATCCAACGAGCCATATGGCGCTCCTTATTGTTTATCAGCGCACCCGCGCTGCCTCTGATTGTCTCACTGACGCCTGGTTTTCTGGGACCAGTGGTGCGGATTAGCTGGAATAGCTTGCGGTAATTGCCTACTGCTCCTGCCTCCTCCATTTCTTGAGCCCGACTGGTCCATCAGGCTTCCTTGTCAGCACGTAGGCTCTGCTTTAGTTCACGCCTAATAGCCCTTCTGGTCACATTGTGCTCAGAGCCAGGCGGGAGGTGTCTTCTAGATTCCAACAGGTTCACCGACCTCTCGGATATCCAGTGACTGGTGCGGTGACGATGGATAGTGCCACAAGCAGATGCTCCTGCGTCGTGCATGGAGGTCGAGATCTTAATACACCGAAGCTCAGTGTCATTAGGACAAGACAGCGGAAGTTCGGTATACAGTGCTTCTTGATAGGCTTGCCTGACCGAGGGCTGAGACAATTTCTCCGTTGCCAATCGTAGGGGACATTTGGTGCGCCTCCCGATAAAGTTCATGGAGAAACGACAGCGCACCAAGGCATGATCAGAGCCGACATAGGTACTCCAGTATGAGCGGCAATCCAGGATGGAACCACGCCACCTGTAACTTATGGCTAGGTGGTCAATTTGGGTCCATCGCTGGCCAGCTACAGGAGGACGTCAAGTGGCACTTCGGCGCCCACTGTCTAAAAGCAGTGCTACTAAGAAACAACTGGTGCTCCGCACACAGTTGCAGCAGACGCTCACCGTTGTCAGTCCGTTCGGAGTTAAACCCATAATTACCAATCAGCTGAGCTTCTGAAGAGCTCAGACGCCCTACTTGTGTGTTCACATCCTCTGCAAGTACTATAATATCTGAACTAGTAGCACTGTGTAATAGCGCGTTCAGTTCGACATAGAATGTGTCCTTGACATCTGAACTGCAGTCGGTGGGAGCCTAAGCGGAAATCACAAACAAACAGCGTTTTGTACTACTTTGTGAATCAACCTTAGCTGATGTTGTCAAACGGGCTGCACATAAACGGCTGTTCACCGGAATCCAATCAACCAACGATGGCACAGCATTGGACCTTGGAATGAAACCTATACTAGCTTGACCCGTGAGTGCTGCATCGGCGACTCCGGATGCGTGCAACCAATGACGAGAGGATAAGCCGGATGCAGTTAATTCTATAACCCAGTTAGGGTCATTGATCCTAGTTTCGGACACACAACACACATCAACACCCAGTGTGTCCAAGGTGCGTGCAAATGCAGCCTGTTGACCTGTTTGTTTTAGAGTGCGAACGTTGAATGTCGCCATGGAAACAGGATAGCGTGGTCTTATAAGGGACTTTTGCCGATAGGCGTCCGATAGGTGCGGTGGGATGGTGGCTGCAGATGGCTCTACTCCAGTGGCACTTCGGTTGCTGTCAATTAAGCTGGGAATTATAGAAGGAAGGTTAGTAATGGGGGTCGGGATGGGAGTAGGAGAAAAAGGTGGAAAAGATAGAAGGGAGGCGCCAGCAGTAGCATGCTTTCGCTTATCCGCCCTGCTGTATGCAGCAGATAAGACGACCCTTGATAATCTGCGCGACGGCCGATGCAGGATGAAGTCTATTTTTGAAGAAAATGTCAAGGTTGTATGTGGGCTGAAATATTGCCAGGGCGCCCAGATCCAGACAGGAGGACGATTAGGGTCCTCATCCAAAGCCTTTGGTTCAAAAGCCTGTCCGAAAGGCAGCGGGGAGGTGGCAATGATTTAGTTTTATAGAAATGGTCGCCATCTCATTTAAAAACCCCAACCTGGAGGACCAGGAGACTGAATTTGTCTGACCTCTCACTATTGACCAACCTGGTAGGAGTAGCTCTCAAGGTGCCTGGAGGCATCATCCAGTATAGCTCAATGGGTCAATGAGGTACGCAAACCGTCACAGCACGTTAAGGTCCAGTCTCGGTAACTACTATGGCAAACGGCGGCGCA